CACCTCCCTTGTTCTCCCCCAGGGGCCCCGCTCCTCTCCAACACCTTCACCGAAGCTGCCGGGGATATCGTGGGTCCTGCCGGACCCCCCGGACCTGTGGGGCCGATGGGTGAGTTGTGTCCTCCCTCCCCCGTGCCCCCAGCATTTTTGGGGGGTGCACCAGCATGGGGCACTGCCAGGGCTGTGCTGATACTGTGTCCCCTCTCCTTGCAGGCCCCCCTGGCCCCCCTGGTCCCATTGGGCCCCCTGGCCCCCCAGGACCCGATGTAAGTGCTGGGAACACCGGGGTGGGGGGCATGGGGTGGGCTGAGCCCCCCCTGGACCTCCGCTGTGGCTGATGGCACCCGCCTTGTCCTTGCACAGGGTAGAGCAGGGGCACCCGGAGCTGCCGGCCCCCCCGGGGAGAAGGGAGACAGGGTGAGTCCCCACCAGCCCCGCACTGTGACACGAGTTGGGGAGCTCTCAGCTGGGACAGGGTTCTGCCGGCATTTCCCATGGCAGGGGGGTTCAGCCGTGCCCCCCAGGTGCTGACGGGCTCTCCTTTCCCCACCCAGGGTCCCCAGGGCCACCCGGGCAGCCATGGCCAGGACGGGGCACAGGTAGGTTGCTGGGTCGGGCCCCCCCGGGCTGCAGCCCCCCATGCCTCCCCCAGCCAGGCCCTCTCCTTTCTGTGTTTCAGGGCGAGCCGGGCCCCAGGGGCGAGCCGGGCGAGAAGGGCACTTGGGTGAGTGGCAAGGGGCACTGGGGACAGGAGTGGGGACACCTCTACTGCAAGGGGTTGTCCACCTGTGGGTGCCAGGGGGCAGTGATGGGCGGCAGGGGGGACCCCTGGCCCCCTCCCCAGCTCTCCCCCATGTCTCCTCCCTCGGACCCCAATGACAGCATGGGGGTCCCCAGTGCTGCTCAGTGCCACGTCTCATCCCCAGGATCCCGACGGTGGTGTGGGGTTCCCTGGCTGTGCCCAGTGCCCACGTCCCGACCCTGGTGACGGAATGGGGGTCCCTGGCTGTGCCTGTGTCCGTGCCGCCCCCCAAATGCTGGAGCAGGGGGGAGCCACCCCAGCATGCTGCCCCTCCCATGGCAGGGGTCACACCATCAGCACAGCCCCCCCACCTCCCCGCAGCTGGGTGGGGTGCTGGGGCACAGAACACCATGGGACCCCCCAGCACATGGGGGCACAAGGCAGGCTCAGACCCCCCAGGGGTAGGGCTGGGGGCCGGTGCCACCCCTCCGGGGGTACCCCCACTCCTTCCCCTGGTGTCACAGTGAATCAGGGGGGTGCTGGGAGGTGGGGGGTACCTGTGTCCCCTCTGTGCCCCCCCCAGGAGAGGTGGTCCCGGGCTATTTGGGGGTCCGGCCCCCCCTTACCCCCATCCCTCTCTTCTCCCCAGGGGGAGGGTTTGCACCAGCTCCGCGAGGCGCTGAAGATTTTAGCAGAGAGGGTTTTAATCTTGGAAACAATGATTGGGCTCTACGGTGAGTAGGGGGGGGCAGCCCAGGCTGTGGGAGGGGACGGGGACCCCCGGGGTGACCCCCATCCCCGCCAGCAGGTCACCAGGCCCCCATGACATCACGGTGGCCCTTGGCTTGCTGATGTCATGGAGCTGCGGGGAGGGGTCCCTCGGCACCCCCTCCCCCCCGCCATGGGGGGCTGGGCACCGGGGCAAGGTGTCAGCCCCGCCTTGGCTGCGGTGTGATGTCATCAGCCATGCGTGATGCCATCACCCACACTGTGGCATCATGGCCAGCACTGGGGACCCACTCGTAGGGCGAGGGCCACTGGGGCACCCCCTGCCTGCACCCATGGCTGGACACCCCAGGAACCCACCCCAGGCAGGGCCAGCTGTGACAGTCTCCATGTTGGGGACAAGCCAGTGGCCCCCTGGGCAGGTTGGGGATGTGTCCCCCCAATGCATCTGGGCACTTGGCATGCTGGGGGGGATGGCAGAGGGAGCAACCCACTGGGACTTGCCTGGGCAGGGGACAGCCACGTCCCCATCCGGGTGCTGCCAGGGACATTGAGGCAGCTGCGGCTGGCGCCGGGGTCGCGGGGGGGGGCCCTGGACCCACAGGGATGGGGGAGCCCCTCGCATCCCCCTGGGGCCACAGGAGCCCCCAGCACCTCTCTGAGACCAGGAGGAGCACCCTCCTGGGAGACCTGGCACCCCCACCCCATTGCATTGGCACCCCCCACCCGCCGGGGCTGCACCCATGCTATGCCACCCATGCTGTGCTATGCCACCCATGCCATGCCGCGCCACCCGCGGGGCGAACGCGTGCTCTGCTCTGCTCTCTCACTCTCCCCCAGGCCAATAGCTTCCAAACCCTCCTGCGGCAGCAGGCCCGGCTGGAGGTCCTGGCTAGAAGGGTCACCTTGCTGGAAGCCATCATCTGGCCAGGTAACCGCGCCACCTTCCCTCCTCCCCTCCCTGCATGAGCTGGGTGCGCCGCGGCCCCCCCGGGAGTGGGCATGGAGCACGGGGGGCTGGACCCCCTGGCAGCAGGTCCCTGGAGGCCCCCAGGGCCAAGGGAGACCCATGGAGACCCTCTCGAGCCAAGGGAAACCTTGGAGCTCCATGGACCAAGGGAAACCCTGGAGAACCTCTCAAACCAAGGGAGACCATGGAGACCCTCTTGGATTGAGAGAGAAAACCATGGAGACCTTCTTGGGCTAAGAGAAAGCCTGGAGCTCCATGGACCAAGGGTGTCCCTGGAGCCCCTCTCAAACCAGGGGAGACCACGGAGACCCTCTTGGACCAAGGGAGCCACTGGAGCCCTCCTTGGCCTAAAGGAGCCCCCGCTGCCCAGCCCCACCATGCCAGGGTACCCAGCTGCAGGGTGCCAGGTGCCCCCCACTCTTTTGCCCCCCCGCCTCCACTTTCCCGCTGTGCTTTCCTGCAGGGGGGGACCCTGGGTCTTGGGGTGCCAGCTGGGGGTGCCAGGCAGGGGTGCCAGCTGGGGGCCCTCGTGTTCCCCCTGGGGACAGCCAGAGCTGTGGGGTTCAACACTGCTGCGTGGCTGGGGAGCAATGAACCCCATTTCAGTGGGACTAGGGACCCCCACCCAAGCACCCAAGGCCGGGGTGACTTTTGGGGGTGGGGGGATGCCTGGCACCCCACCACTGCCTGATGCCTCTCTCCTTTCCTCCCCGCAGAACCAGAGC